AATCACATTTGGAAAAAGAGGAGAGAGAGGGGAAAACAGTGAGTCTGCGAAGAGGAGGGAGTTCGAGATAAAGAGATCAGCGGCTCTGCCTGTGAGATGGCACAGCAGCAGGGTTGCCCATCCCCCACATCCATCCATCCATCTTCCTCCTCTCTCGCTTTTTCACCTCCGCTCATTCGCTCTATCTGCTCCTGGCAGAGAGGATGTGACTGGACAAAATCGTTCTTTTTTTTGTTTCTGGTTCTCAGAAAATCAGTGTGTGTGTCAGTCAGTGTGGAGGTTTAGAGCTCACTTCTCCGACCGGTCTGTGAGTAGAATCTCTTTCATAGCAGCAGTCGGGGAGTCTGGGAGTCGTGCGATGACTGGATTAGTCAGGCTGCAGTTCAGAATGTCAATTTGTTTTGGTCACTTTGTGTTTCTACTTTTGCACATTTTCGAATTCAAGATCTCCCCCCTGCCGAGGTCAAGGTCATTTCTGCTCCACTGGCCACGGTCCTTGTGCTGTTTATAGAGTCAGTAGAAGCCTGAAGGTCAGAAACATCTGTGTCAGTTTCAGTGCTTGTGTTTATTTAAAAATGTGAAACATCTCTCTGCAAAGAAAATATTCAGCAACATGTAGCACCTGGGTTGGTTGACTGCTCTCAACTTCCCATAATAATCCTGAGATGATGGTGAAGATTATAAAGAGGAGGAGGAGGAGCTGCAGTCATTAAAGTACGGAATCCTTGAACCCCACTTCAGCGTTTCTACGTCTTCACAGGACACACCTGCTGCTTCCCATCAGCTCAACATTACTGTAATTAAAAAAGTAATCTCGGTAGATGAAGCCTGGATTAGCTGAAGCATTGTGTCAGTGATGTGAAGACCTGGATTATTGACGGTGGAAGAATTTCAGTCCGAACTTTTGCTCAGTTTTGTTGAGTTTATTTGATGCAAAGCAGACGCAGAAACACTTAACAAAAAACAAACGATGAATTCGTGTTGGAGGAGTCAGGTGGGTGAGAAGAGGAGTCTGAATTGTGTCCGTGAGTTTCATTTGATTTCTGTACATTAATGTAAAGTGTGTGTGTGTTTGTGTGTGTACAGGAGGAACAGGCTGCCAAACTGAAGGCAGAGAACATCAGAGTGGCACTGGAGAAGATCAAGGAGGCTCAGGTGAAGAAGGTGAGTCCTGTCACACATCCACAGACACAGAGAAGGCTGATGGGTTTTGTTTTCACATATATATGCGTGTGTGTGTAACTTTGTGCACGTGTGTGAACGTCTGGCACGTGGCAGAGTTTTTCTGGGTCAGGTCAGTGTTACTCTGCAAAGCTCTGGTCAATAAATACTGGAGTCAACACTCACACATCCATACAGGCTGACAGATTGTAGCAGAGGGAGGGAGAGGGTGAGGGAGAGAGGGAGCACTCAACATGATGACTATAGCAAGTTAAGTCCCAGTCCTGGAGAGAATGAAAGAGTCTGGAATGAAAATCTGGATTTGCTACAGGCACATACACAAGTGTAATTACCTGTGTGTGTTTTTGTGTGAGAGAGTGTGTGTGAGTGCATAATCCGTGTGTAAACGATGCACAAAGCTCAAAAACACTAACTCTGAAGAGATTGTAACATTAATGGAGGTTGTTTTAGCAAAGCAGTAGAAATGTTTGTTGGAGGAGAAAAAAATAATAACATGTCACTCTGATATGAACCTGTGGACTGACTTTTTTACATTAATTGACATGGTGAAAGTTACCTAAGAAGTGCATGGTGTCGTCTTATGCAGACGCAGATGAAACAATGACTTGTACTGACTGTTAAAAACCAATGGTAAAATTGTCACTACTAAAATGTATTTAGGCAGAAAAAAGTATTTAAACTTTAAAAAAAAACTCCAGGTTTACCTTCAGCTTTGTCAGTTGCTGTCATTGTCTGTTTGGTGAGGAGCTGTGCTACATGCGTGCTACATGCTGTGTGTTGTCATAGTACAAGCGTGTAGAGTGTACTTATCTGGGGCACATCCCTGTGCATTCCATCCACAAGGCTCTCTGGGAATAAAAAGGATGTAGGATTTTCTCACCAATCTGCAGCTTTAATATTTCATCTTCTACCTACTGAGGCTGAGGAAGATTCTAGTGCGACTGCTGTGATGGAGTTAACTTCAGTTTATCTGAGGAGACAGACTGTAATCCTGTCATCTGCTGTTCAAAGCATTTACGGGGAGAAAAAAAAGTAACTTTAATCGCACGATAAAACCTCTGATCAATTCTATTTTTACAAAATGGGGGGGGGGTTGTTACTGAGTAAAAGAATTTGAGGCAAGTTTGGTATTTAATTTGATTCAAGAATGGGAAAACATTTGAACTAATTTTATTTGTCTCATTTGAGAATGTCTCCTCTTTATTAATTTATTTTTAGCTTAGTTCAACGTTTGATTTTAATTTAATGAGGCTTGAGTTAATACTTTATTCCTGTTGTAGGAATGTTGCTACAAAGGAGTTGAGTATTCTGGCCTTGAACATGAATGAAGACAAACGTGTATTTTCTTTTTCTTTATCTCCCACAGTTAGTTATTCGTGTTCATTTGTCCGACGAGAGCTCGAAGACAGTGATGGTGGACGAGAGACAGACTGTCAGACAGGTAATGAGACCATGTCCTTGGTGCCTCCTGCTCGGCATCCTGTTGAAGCAACAGGCTGCAAACACACACAATAGTTTCCCCAGTGTGGGATCAATAATGTTCTTATGTTTTCATATCTGACCAATCAATTTATCAGTTGATAAATATGAGAAATGCACTGTCACTTGTTGTAGTTCTGTTGACAGTTACAGTTGTGTCTTTGTCTTCGTCTAGGTTCTGGACAGTCTGCTGGAGAAATCTCACTGTGGCTACAGTCCAGACTGGTCCCTGGTGGAAACCATCAATGAGCTACAGATGGGTGAGAACACACACTGGTTGAATACTGATGACAGGGATGAGTGTAATAAAGCTTGGGTAGGCAGGGTCGCTAGACGAAGAGCTAAATAAATCGAAGGATTGGGGTTTGGATCCTCGACCTTTAGCTCCTTCAACGAGACAGTCCAGTCAGAGTTCCACAGAAAACTATTATTATTATTTCTAGTTATAAAAAGACTAAATGACACCAACAGTACAGTCCAATGCAGACAGCTGAGTACTGTACTACTGTAGTGCAGTAGTACTTTAGTACAGTACTACTGTAGGTCATAGAGATATCCCTGAACACATGCACATACACACATGCACGTAAACACATGCTGAGCCACAGGCTTTTACTCCACTTCACTGTCATTGGTGTGCAGTTACTGTACACACACACACACTCTCTCTCTCTCTCAATGTGGGTCCAGAGCAGTGATGCATGTGATCTAACCTACATCTGCAGGGCTTCTTCTCTCTCTCTCACACACACACACACACACACACACACACACACACACACACTCAGCATCACTAACTCTGTGTTAACAAAAAGGCTAGTGAAGCTCAGTTATGTTCAAGTTCAAAACTAGTGTTTTGTCTAAACTTTTTACAAATATTTTATAAAATATTTAATATATTATAATATGTCTTCATGCACTTAGCCCTAAAGAATGCATTTGTGTCCAAGAATAGTCAAGAATTTGTGGCAATTCTTGACTATTGTTTAATTCATTTTTTACAGTTGTTTAAATACATTCTGTTTTGGACGTGTTTTTGATTTTACGTTTATTTTTTCCAATGTTAGCACTTAGCTTTTCATTTTTCATATTGACTTTTCTTCAGTGTATGTCCAAGTCACTTTTAGACTTCTTTGTAGCTAAAGCAATACTGTATATATATATATATTAAAGCTACATTTTTGTTTAACCTTTGGCAACCCACATGACTAAAATTAGCATTTTCTGTATGGTTTTAGCAAATGTGGCTAACTTTTAGCATTTTTAAGTACTTAACAGTAATAGAGATTAGAGTTTGTAACCTCGTATCAATTGTTAAACAGAAACAGACATTAATTACTATTGTAATGTGACATTAGCTGAATAAAATATGGCAGTGTTGTATAGAAACTTGCTAGTATTTTCCCAGGTAAAAAAAAAGAGCTTTAAAAAGAAATCTTTAATATTATTTTTTGACTTGAAGTGACTGAGAATGGCTTTGAATGGTTCTGTTGTACAGAGCGGATCTTTGA